CCTGTGGTAAATTCAATTGTTTGGACATGATTTGGAAAGGCACACACGTGTCCATATGAGGTCCCACAGTTGACAGTGCATGTCAGAGAAAAAAAAGCCATGAGGTCAAAGGAATTGTCCGTAGAGCTCCGAGACAGGATTGTGTCAAAGCACAGATCTGGGGAAGGGTACCAAAATAATTCTGCAGCATTGAAGGTCCCCAAGAACACAGTGGCCTCCATCATTCTTAAATGGAAGAAGTTTGGAACCACCAAGACTCTTCCTAGAGCTGGCTGCTCGGCCAAACTGAGCAATCGGGGGCGAAGGGCCTTGGTCAGGGAGGTGACCAAGAAACCGATGGTCACTCTGACAGAGCTCCAGAGTTCCTCTGTGGAGATGGGAGAACCTTCCAGAAGGACAACCATCTCTGCAGCACTCCACCAATCAGGCCTTTATGGTAGAGTGGCCAGACGGAAGCCACTCCTCAGTAAAAGGCACATGACAGCCCACTTGGAGTTTGCCAAAAGGTACCTAAAGGACTCTCAGATTCTCTGGTCTGATTAAACCAAGATTGAACTCTTTGGCCTGAATGCCAAGCGTCACGTCTGGAGGAAACCTGACACCATCCCTACAGTGAAGCATGGTGGTGGCAGCATCACGCTGTGGGGATGTTTTTCAGCGGCAGGTACTGGGAGACTAGTCAGGGTCGAGGGAAAGATGAACAGAGCAAAGTACAGAGAGATCGTTGATGAAAACCTGCTCCAGAGCACTCAGGACCTCAGACTGGGGCGAAGGTTCACCTTCCAACAGGACAACGACCCTAAGCACACAGCCAAGACAACGCAGGAGTGGCTTCGGGACAAGTCTCTGAATGTCCTTGAGTGGCCCAACCAGACCCCGGACTTGAACCCTATCGATCATCTCTGGAGAGACCTGAAAATAGCTGTGCAGCGACGGTCCCCATCCAACCTGACAGAGCTTGAGAGGATCTGCAGAGAAGAATGGGAGAAACTCCCCAAATACAGGTGTGCCAAGCCTGTAGTGTCATACCCAAGAAGACTCAAGGCTGTAATCACTGCCAAAGGTGCTTCAACAAAGTACTGAGTAAAGGGTCTGAATACTTATGTAAATGTAATAGATCCGTTTTTTTTTTTTTATATACATTTGCAAAAATTTCTGAAAACCTGTTTTTCTTTGTCATTATGGGGTATTGTGTGTAGATTGATGAGGGGGAAATTACTTTTTCATAAATTTTAAAATAAGGTTGTAATGTAACAAAATGTGGAAAAGGTCAAGGGGTCTGAATACTTTCCGCATATCCTAACCCCTCAAAACCCTCAGTAACATCTCTCTGTCCCCTCCCCGTTCCTCCCCACCCCCCCCCATCCCCGTTCCTCCACCTCCCCCCCCCTCCAGACACCCTGATCGGCACAGAGATCACCTTGGTAACGGGTAACGACGTGGACTCCAGTCCGGCCCTGTCCTACAGCCTCCAGCTGGACGGGTCGTCCCAGGGGAAGTTTGGGATCCACCGCTACAGTGGAGGGGTGTCTCTGACCGCCCCTCTGGACTACGAGGACAGGACCTGGTACACGCTAACCATCAGGGCTACGGACTCCCAACACCAGACTGAGGCTAATATCACCGTACTGGTGGAGGACGTCAATGATAACGCTCCTGCGTTCACACAGGATCTATACCAGGTAACTGTTAATCAATCAGTTAATCAATCAATTCACACGTTCCCGCGTTCACACAGGATCTATACCAGGTAAATGGCTTTTAGGTGATGAGCAATCCATCAACCAATCATTCTAACAATCAATCAACCAATCAATCTAATAATCAATCGGTCCTCCTTCATAACCCCACAAACACCCAGCTACAGTGGGGAAAAAAAGTATTTAGTCAGCCACCAATTGTGCAAGTTCTCCCACTTAAAAAGATGAAAGAGGCCTGTAATTTTCATCATAGGTACACGTCAACTATGACAGACAAATTGAGCATTTTTTTTCCAGAAAATCACATTGTAGGATTTTTAATGAATTTATTTGCAAATTATGGTGGAAAATAAGTATTTGGTCACCTACAAACAAGCAAGATTTCTGGCTCTCACAGACCTGTAACTTCTTCTTTAAGAGGCTCCTCTGTCCTCCACTCGTTACCTGTATTAATGGCACCTGTTTGAACTTGTTATCAGTATAAAAGACACCTGTCCACAACCTCAAACAGTCACACTCCAAACTCCACTATGGCCAAGACCAAAGAGCTGTCAAAGGACACCAGAAACAAAATTGTAGACCTGCACCAGGCTGGGAAGACTGAATATGCAATAGGTAAGCAGCTTGGTTTGAAGAAATCAACTGTGGGAGCAATTATTAGGAAATGGAAGACATACAAGACTACTGATAATCTCCCTCGATCTGGGGCTCCACGCAAGATCTCACCCCGTGGGTTCAAAATGATCACAAGAACGGTGAGCATAAATCCCAGAACCACACAGGGGGACCTAGTGAATGACCTGCAGAGAGCTGGGACCAAAGTAACAAAGCCTACCATCAGTAACACACTACGCCGCCAGGGACTCAAATCATGCAGTGCCAGACGTGTCCCCCTGCTTAAGCCAGTACATGTCCAGGCCCGTCTGAAGTTTGCTAGAGTGCATTTGGATGATCCAGAAGAGGATTGGGAGAATGTCATATGGTCAGATGAAACCAAAATATAACTTTTTGGTAAAAACTCAACTCGTCGTGTTTGGAGGACAAAGAATGCTGAGTTGCATCCAAAGAACACCATACCTACTGTGAAGCATGGGGGTGGAAACATCATGCTTTGGGGCTGTTTTTCTGCAAAGGGACCAGGACGACTGATCCTTGTAAAGGAAAGAATGAATGGGGCCATGTATCGTGAGATTTTGAGTGAAAACCTCCTTCCATCAGCAAGGGCATTGAAGATGAAACGTGGCTGGGTCTTTCAGCATGACAATGATCCCAAACACACCGCCCGGGCAACGAAGGAGTGGCTTCGTAAGAAGCATTTCAAGGTCCTGGAGTGGCCTAGCCAGTCTCCAGATCTCAACCCCATAGAAAATCTTTGGAGGGAGTTGAAAGTCCGTGTTGCCCAGCGACAGCCCCAAAACATCACTGCTCTAGAGGAGATCTGCATGGAGGAATGGGCCAAAATACCAGCAACAGTGTGTGAAAACCTTGTGAAGACTTACAGAAAACGTTTGACCTGTGTCATTGCCAACAAAGGGTATATAACAAAGTATTGAGAAACTTTTGTTATTGACCATATACTTATTTTCCACCATTATAATTTGCAAATAAATTCATTAAAAATCCTACAATGTGATTTTCTGGAGAAAAAAAATCTAATTTTGTCTGTCATAGTTGACGTGTACCTATGATGAAAATTACAGGCCTCTCTCATCTTTTTAAGTGGGAGAACTTGCACAATTGGTGGCTGACTAAATACTTTTTCCCCCCACTGTACAACAACAACAACAACAACAACAAATATTGTGCAAAAATATTTAGTTATATCATAGAAGTAATATTTGTTACCATAGCAGTAGTTTGTTTTAAAACAACAAGATATTATCCAGTTCCCTTTATGGTCCGTTTTCTTCAGCAGGTCTGTAGTAAAGGAAAGAAGGGGTCCTTGTCCCCTGGGGTTTGTCTCAAATGGCACCCTATTCCCTAAACAGTGCACTATTTTTTACCAGGACCCATAAGGCTCTAGTCAAAACTAGTGCACTATAATGGGAATAGGGTGCCAATTTTGGGACGCAGACTTGGTGTAACAGTAGATTTATGTCCCAAAGTCATCTGTTGAAAGGGGCAGGAGAGAGGGGCGGGAGGTACCCACTAAACATGTCAACCAGAAGGCGTTTATCTCTCCAGGTCTTCACACCTAGTTAAACTTGATAAACAGCAGGGAAAATTAGCTTCGCAAAGTTATGGATCCCAGGATACTCACTGCATTAAAGCACCTGCACACACATGAATGCAAATGCAGGCACGCACACACACACACACACACACACACACACACACACACACACACTACATACGCCCACACACATAACATTCACCCACATGCATACTGATCCCACACACACACACACACACACACACACACACACACACACACACACACTGAGGGTGGTGATAAAAGTCAAGTCTAATCACAACTGTGTCTGGTTTGCGGAAAAGGTTAAGATGAGCTCATAACATTTACTGTTGTAAACAGGATATGACTTCAGCTTTAACTGCAGGTTAACAACAACATAACGTTCACTACTGTAGACAGGATATGAATTTCACTTTTAACACAGGTTAACAACCATCTGCTGCGTTCCAAATGGCACCCTATTCCCTATATAGTGCACAGTCACCACAGGGCTCTGGTCAAAACCAGTGCGCTCTCCCTCTCTTTACTCTCTATTTTCATTCTCTAGTTTAGGAATCAGGAACTCTGTTTCACCAGAGCTAGTGGTATAGCTTCTATTCATTTGGTTAGATTTCTGTTGATTTTGTTGTGTTGTGTTGACTATTATGGGGTGTTTAAAGCTGTGTGTGTGTCTGTGTTTCTCAGGTAACACTGCCAGAACATTCCCCGCCAGGCAGTCCCGTTGTCACGGTGACAGCGACTGACCGTGATTCGGGGGAGAATGGAAAGGTCACCTACAGAGTGATGTCATCGACGCGAGGTGGCTTCTATGTCGACCCCAGCAACGGTACAGGATTCAGTTCTCTTTCCTACCTGTTCACACACACACTGCTGTGCTGTTACCATGGGGAAACGATCTGCTATCGGCAGGTAGCTTAGCGGTTACGAGCATTGGGCCAGTAACTGAAAGTTCGCTGGTTTGAATCCCCGAGCCGACTAGGTACAAAATCTGTCTTGCTCCTGTAAGTCGCTCTGGATAAGAGTGTCTGCTAAATGACTAAAATACATTTTTTTAAAGGACTGAATAGGACTGGCGTATAGGTGAAGTCCAAGTGAATGGGTTTCAAACCTGTGTTTTATTCAAAACTTTTCAAATGATTTATCTTGTTCCCCTACAGGCACCCTGTTCATCAGGGGGAGGGCAGAGTTTGACCCAGAGAACCCGTCCGTCAGTGTGGTCATCGAAGCCTGTGACGGGGGCTCCCCGCCCCTCTCCTCCGTCACCACAGTACAGGTCCAGCTATCAGACGTCAACGACAACGCTCCCGTCTTCCACCAATCAGAGTACAGGTAGGTCACAGCGATCCCGTCTTCCACCAATCAGAGTACAGATAGGTCACAGCGATCCCGTTTTCCACCAATCAGAGTACAGGCGGGTCCTGTCTTCCACCAATCAGAGTACAGGTAGGTCACATTACTCCCGTCTTCCACCAATTGGAGTACAGGTAGGTCCTGTCTTCCACCAATAGGTGGCTGTCATCTTTTTTTATCATGAAAAGGGTAGATCATACACAGATTCATTGGCTTTGAGCAGTTGCTGTATCTAGCATATGCTGCCATGTTTCAAATGAGTATAGTTACTCTATAGATACATGAAGCTAATAAATACTATACATGTTAATGTACCATATGATATGTTATTGTTAAGTGTAACCAATGAGTTGTTATTGTGATCCAAATGATTGATTCTGATAATTGTGTTTCCAGGGCGACGGTGTCGGAGGACTCCATCCCCGGGGCGACCATTCTGACCCTGGAGGCGATGGATGCTGATTTCTCTCGGGACAACTGTGGCTTCGACTTCGCCATCGCCAGTGGCAACACTGGGAACGTCTTCCAGATCGAGAGCAGCGTGCGCTTCCTGGAGGGGCGGGGCTTCCAGACCGTAGGGACTCTCCTATTGGCCGAGGTGCTGGACTTCGAGGCCATGCCCCTCTATAACCTGACGGTGGTGGTGTCGGACAGAGGGGTTCCACAGCGGAGTTCTAGCGTTGCCGCGGTGATAACCGTTGGTGACGTAAACGATAACCCGCCGGCGTTCGGCAGGGCGGAGTACGTTGTGTCACTGAGTGAAGGAGCGGGCGCTGGAACAGAGATATTACGACTCACTGCCACAGGTGAGGGAATAGCCCCCCCCCCCCCACACACACACACACACACACACAAATACACAAATTGACCGCCTCAGGTGATGATAAATAGTTACACTATGGGGTTAGAAATTGAAACGGTGGAGAGGAGATGGGGTGGTGAAAATGGAGTCCCCCTATCTTTAGTATTATTATGCATCTGCAAAGCATCTATTTGTTTTATTATAAACTGTGTTAAATGCTTTCTCTCCGCCCGCCCGCCCCTCCCCCCTCCCTCACTCCATCACTCCCCTCCAGACCCAGACTCGGCCCCCAACGCAGAGGTCCAGTACAGTATCAGCTCAGGCGATGAGATGGACCTGTTCACAATCGACCAGTGGACCGGGGCGCTGCGCTTACAGCGACCGCTCGACCGCGAGCACCAGTCCTCCCACGTGGTCATCGTCCAGGCCTCGGATGGCCGTGGTCACGTCGCCCTGGCCCCAATCAGCGTAGAGGTCAAAGATGTGAACGATAACAGACCGTTCTTCCCCGTCGAGACTCTGACCGCTAGCATCAGAGAGAACCAGCCGGTCAACTCAGCTGTGACCATACTCCACGCCATAGACCACGACACTGGGATGTACGGCCAGCTGAGATACTACATGGTAGAGCGAGGTCAAGGGTCAGGAGTCACAGGGCGAGAGGCCTTCACCGTGGACCAAAGTTCAGGAGAGGTCAGGGCTAAGATGACTTTTGACTTTGAGAAGGTCAACTCATTTAATTTCGTTGCTCTGGCGATGGACGCCGGTAACCACTCGGCCACGGTGACGGTCCAGGTGTACGTGACCGGTGAGGATGAGTACGACCCGCTCTTCGTCTCCCCAGAGTTCTCCTTCGAGGTTCCGGAGGGGGCGAAGAGGGGCCAGAGCATCGGACAGGTCCAGGCGAATGACGAGGACGGAGGTGTAGACGGTATCGTCCTCTTCTCGCTCCCTAGCTCCTCCCTGTACTTTGACGTCAACAAAACAACCGGGGTGATATTCCTCAAGATGGACGGGTCTTCTAGTCGCAGCAGCAGCGGGTTAGGGGGGCGGTCAAAAAGGGAGACCAGGACCATGACTCTGGACGTTCACGCCCACAGCCCTCTGGACACGTCCCGTGTCACCACGGCCCAGCTGACCATCGACGTGACCAACACGTCCTTCGGCCTGGGGGCAGACCTCAACGTCCTGCTGATCATCATCATCGCAGTGTCCCTGGGGGTCATCGTGCTCCTAGTGGTCATGGCTGTGGTCATCTTTCTGGTCAAGTCAAAGAGACGCAGGAAGAACAAAGGACAGGACAACAGGGCCGTGGCCTCGGGAACCTCTCTGCAGAAACTGGACGATTCCAAATCTGGAGGATCCGAGAGGATCTATCATCAGACGTTACCAGGGTACTCTGGCAACCAGAGTGGAGCAGGGGCCGGGCCCTACACCCGGGGGGGCTCCCTTGACCCCTCACACTCCAGCGGGCGTGGCTCAGCCGAGGCGGCGGAGGACGATGAGATCAGGATGATCAACGAGTACCCCCGCGTAGCGTCCATCTCCTCATCCATGCAGGAGCACATCTCAGCCCGGGGGCCGGACTCTGGCATCCAGCAGGACGCTGACCAGCTGTCTGACATCTCCTGTGAGCCGGCCGCCCTGGAAGGAAGCACCTGGTTCAAAGGCAAGAAGCTGGGAGGGAGTCTCAGCGGAACCATGCTGTCTGGACAGCTACCTGTCTACAGAGACGAGCTGGGAGGAGGGTACCTGGGGGTGGGGAGGGGACTCAACATCTCCCATCCTAAAGATTACGCCTTCCCAGAGGACGGGAAGCCCTCGGTGGATGGGTCTCTGACAGCCATAGTGGCCAGCGACGAGGAGCTGAGGGGCAGTTATAACTGGGACTACCTGCTCAACTGGTGCCCTCAGTTCCAACCACTAGCCAACGTCTTCACAGAGATCGCCAGGCTCAAAGACGAGACGGCCCCACAGAACCAGACCAACCCGCGCCAGCCCTTCCAGCCCAAAGCCAAGACGGACCCCAAGCCTCGCATCGACCCACCGCCCCTCATCACCGCCGTGGCCCACCCCGGGGCCAAGTCCGTCCCCCCGAAGGTCCCTGTCATCGGACGCACCTTCCCCCACCTGGCCACCCTACGACGGTCCCCCATAAGCCACGAGGGCTCCATCTCCTCAGCAGCCATGTCCCCCAGCTTCTCCCCCTCTCTCTCCCCCCTCGCCGCCCGCTCCCCCGCCGTCTCCCCCTTCGGAGTCACCCAGGGCCCCTCGGCCTCCATGATCAGCACCAGGGACCCCTCGCTGGACCACAGCCCCGACCATGAGATGAGGATCTGAGGACAAGTTTTTTTTTTTGGGGGGGGGTTTTAGAGACATTTCTATCATTTATGTTTTATCATATGACAAAGTAAAAAGGTGCTGAGATCTGGACATTATATCAGCTCCTATGACAGATTAGGATGTGAAGGAAGTGTTCGTTTTTCAGAGACATGTTTCTCTGATGTAGTTTGTATTATCTGACAATGTGATTGGTTCTCAGATCTGGACATTATAACAGCTCCGAGGACAGATGAAGAGATGAAGGAAGTGTTCGGCGTTATAGAATTTTTTTTTTCTGATTATAGTTTCTCAGATGAGTTTTAGGCCACATTTCTTCAAAAGGAAGGGGAATATAGTGTACTCTGGGAACATTTGTATTAGTGAGACCAAGTGAGTGCCAAGATGAGGCTTTAAGATCATGGACCCTAATGTTATGCGACAGGTCATATTCACCCTCTTTTCTGAAGGGAGATGTGGATTATAATTTCCTACAGGATGTCATTTCTCATCCTATGAGCACTTAGACCTAGCTATCCCTCTATGGAGAGGTGGACCATGTTGTTGGGGTGAGGAGGTTAGCAGTGATAACAGACCAGCCCTCTCCTCCCCTCCTTCGCCACCATGACGCAGGCCTCTGATAATTGCCACAGGGTTAGGAGATTAACCAAACTCTCGGCTGCGAACAACCATGCCTTGGATCCAACCCTGCAGCTGCAGACTGACCCCTCCCTGCAGACAGAGGCCCTCAGTAGAGATAAACTGACGTATCGGCTGCAGACTGACCCTCCCTGCAGACAGTCATGAAGTCCGTAGATACAGTAGATATGTAGTTTTCAGGTCACTCCTCGCTGGCTGGTCAGAGAGATAAATGATTCCACTATCCCTCTTGTACTTCTGTATCTTCACATTCTAGATCTCCATTAAAGACTTCAGTGTTCCGTTGTGGTGGTCTCACAAACAAAATGGCTGCTTACATAACAAACAAGATGGCTGCTTTCGAAATGGCCGACATTTCCTCTTCTGACCAAGTACACGTGTGTTGAAAAATACATTATACACTAGCCAGTGTTTTGTACATTGGAAACGGGGACTGAGGCTAATGTTTTCCTTTGTTGCTACAGAAGACGTGTTCTTTTGTTTTGGTTGTATTTTTTTTATATATTTTTATATTGACCTTTGATTTCTGATTTGACATGCCAGGTTATCATTTCATTCTATTTAGATATATGTATATTTGTATGTGTGTATGTATGCTAGCCACAGTATGTATGTGTTTTCCTGTCATAGATTTTAGATGTTTTGTGTCTTTGTGGACTCGTGACATTTGTGACGTGAGTGAGTGGGGAACATTTTGTGTTTTGATAATTATTTATATGAAGAAAATGAACTGCTGGCTACGTTGACAGCGGGCAACCAAGTTCAGTTTTCACCATGCTGTATTGTATCTTTAAAATATTTTCTTGTCAAAATGAAGATCCTCCCAAAATCCCGGCAAAGCTATGTAGAGACGACCAGAGATCATTGTTCACTGCCCTTACTCTGTCACCCAAACCAGACCTGTCCTCATTGTTAGTAAACTGTTATAACTGATATGTAGCGGAGGTGAACCGGACTCACGCTCTTTTGATGAAAATCTGTTTCACCCCGGTCCAAGAGGGAATGTCCTCTTGGCTTAATGGTTAAGACGTTGGTTTTCCATGCTGGAGACCAGGGTTCAGATCCCGCCTGTTACATTTACACTAGACTCAGTGTTAGTAAACTGGCTTACACAGAAGTACACATTCTCTCTGGAATTCCTGTTCACCTCTTGTGTCTTCTTATGAAGTGCTTCCGGGTCAACACAAAGGTCAATGATGTGAGGTCATCGCTCCGTATGATGGCTTGTAACTGTGAAGTGGTTCAACTTCATACCATAGAAATACAATACATAGATTGTAGAAGGGTTTATGTAACTACTTAAAGGTAGCAGCACAATTGAAAAGCATACATGAATTTAACTTCAATTAGACCTGTCATGCTCACAAATGGTTGCTTCCAAAATCGACATACTGTGTGTTATCTCTATGCATTCTATTTCTATGATTTCAATGCTACAGTGCTACATTCTAGATATGTTGTTAGATGTGTTTCTCCAGGAGGTAGAGGAGGTTATCCGGGTTCCATGTGTTTCTCCAGGAGGTAGGGTAGGTTGAGGAGGTTATCCAGGGTCCATGTGTTTCTCCAGGAGGTAGGGTAGGTAGAGGAGGTTATCCAGGGTCCATGTGTTTCTCCAGGAGGTAGGGTAGGTTGAGGAGGTTATCCAGGGTCCATGTGTTTCTCCAGGAGGTAGGGTAGGTTGAGGAGGTTATCCAGGGTCCATGTGTTTCTCCAGGAGGTAGGGTAGGTTGAGGAGGTTATCCAGGGTCCATGTGTTTCTCCAGGAGGTAGGGTAGGTAGAGGAGGTTATCCAGGGTCCATGTGTTTCTCCAGGAGGTAGGGTAGGTTGAGGAGGTTATCCAGGGTCCATGTGTTTCTCCAGGAGGTAGGGTAGTCTACCTTGCCTCTCGCTGACCTGGCTCTAACTCTGTCAGACCACTAAACATGGGAGGAGCCTCTCGCTGACCTGGCTCTAACTCTGTCAGACCACTAAACATGGGAGGAGCCTCTCGCTGACCTGGCTCTAACTCTGTCAGACCACTAAACATGGGAGGAGCCTCTCGCTGACCTGGCTCTAACTCTGTCAGACCACTAAACATTGTAGGAGTCTGGCTTTATAGCAGCAGACTTATGAGCCGTCAGTTCAGTAGTGACATTGTGTTGTCTCACAAACATGTCTGAGTTGGAACGCCTCCGCGTTGGGACTTCTTTTGCTGTGAATCCCAAATGGCACCCCAATCCCTGTATAGCCCATAGGGCTCTATTCAAAAGTAGTGCACTATATAGGGAATGGGGTGCCATATGGGATTCAAAATTGAAGATGTCTCCTGCCAACGATTCAGCAGCACATAGAACAGAAATCATCTGTATATGTATTTAAAAAGCGGAGAATAAATTCATACTGATCTCTTTTGACAAACTGGAGTCTGTTTATTTTTTCTCTCTCTCTTTTCTGACTCGGAACCAAGTTCTTCGATTTGAGGGAATTCGAAAGTAATTAAAGTGTACCAGAGTCTCTCTGGTCTTTTCAGCAGTTAAGATGTAGAGCCTGAGGCCCACATTGCACCATATTCCCTATACAGTGCACTACTATAGGCCCTGGTCTAAAGTAGTAGAGTCTCCCTTCATTAAAAACGTATTAGCTGGGGAGAAACTGGTCAGCTCTAGCCAGGTTAGGAGCTGTGACCTGGGGGCAGAGCGCCAGGGAGAGAGGGCCACACCTCCAGGCTCTAGCCAGGATAGGAGCAGTGTCCTGGGGGCAGAGCGCCAGGGAGAGAGGGCCACACCTCCAGGCTCTAGCCAGGATAGGAGCAGTGTCCTGGGGGCAGAGCGCCAGGGAGAGAGGGCCACACCTCCAGGCTCTAGCCAGGATAGGAGCACTGTCCTGGGGGCAGAGCGCCAGGGAGAGAGGGCCACACCTCCAGGCTCTAGCCAGGATAGGAGCAGTGTCCTGGGGGCAGAGCGCCAGGGAGAGAACGTCCCACTCTGTGTTGGCTCTGTACACTCTCCTCAACAACCCTGATGCTACAACCCTGATTCTACAGCCCTGATGCTACAGCCCTGATGCTACAGCCCTGATGCTACAGCCATGATGCTACAGCCATGATGCTACAGCCCTGATGCTACAGCCCTGATGCTACAGCCACGATGCTACAGCCATGATACTACAGCCCTGATGCTACAGCCATGATACTACAGCCCTGATGCTACAGCCCTGATGCTACAGCCCTGATGCTACAGCCCTGATGCTACAGCCATGATGCTACAGCCCTGATGCTACAGCCCTGATGCTACAGCCCTGATGCTACAGCCATGATGCTACAGCCATGATGCTACAGCCCTGATGCTACAGCCATGATGCTACAGCCCTGATGCTACAGCCCTGATGCTACAGCCTAGATGCTACAGCCACGATGCTACAGCCACGATGCTACAGCCACGATGCTACAGCCATGATGCTACAGCCAAGATGCTACAGCCACGATGCTACAGCCCTGATGCTACAGCCCTGATGCTACAGCCATGATGCTACAGCCCTGATGCTACAACCATGATGCTACAGCCCTGATGCTACAGCCATGATGCTACATCCCTGATGCTACAGCCCTGATGCTACAGCCCTGATGCTACAGCCCTGATGCTACAGCCCTGACGCTACACCCATGAAAAGCTGCCATATCTGGGAGGGATGATGCTACAGAATGTCCAAACTGCCTCAGCTGAGAGACACACACACACACCAGTGGCGGTCGGTGCCGTTTATGATGAGGGAGGAAGATTATTATTTTCATGAGCGTGGCCTTATTTCTATTACAGCATATTGGATGACTGTCATTCATATTCCGTTCACCCAGCTCAATGTAACATCGATAGGTTTAGGCTACTCCATGATGCTCTAATGTTCCCTATACCCGTCATGAGGTTGCTACAACCTAGCCTATGAATGAAAGTTTACAATGTAGGTGCACTGGTCAAGAGAAATTTGAGTAATCAAGGTGACAAACAGTGACACATTCAATACCGCCTGGCACACTCTTGCCTGCATCTAGCTGATCTAGGTTGTAATCATTAGTCCACCAGTTCCAAAATATAGTTTCTATTGGACAAATACAGGTATGTTATCCCAGTTTCATTCCATTTGCTTCCATTTAAGAAACGTTTTTAAACAGAATGAATACACCCCTGATCACACGCAAACACAGTTCACTTTCATAGCAGCCAGATCGTTGTATAATTCCTTCTCGCATCTACGCGCTCTCCTCCTCTCACCTTTTCCCTTCAATTGTGGACTTCAGGGCACAACGCATCAGCTGTCTGTGACCAGGCGAAAAAACCTTTCCAAGCTAAACCTTCATATCATAACCGCTAACCGCTATACACAT